TGTTTTTTTATGGAATATACAAGTCTCTCTTCTAATTGCAGTCAATATTTAAATACTGCATACAATTTATCCTCTCTTTATAATTTATCTAGTGAGTGTTGGTTTTTTATGACATTATTTCTGTAACGAAATTGAAATGGTTATGAAATGAAATTTAAATTATTTGAACTTTTGGGGTTTTGTAACTTCAATATTAAATCTTATTTAAAGTGAAACAGCTAATTTCTTTGCAGCCATAATAGTCACATTTGGTCAGATGAAACACACTACTACCCGCACACTACTCGTCGGTGGTATAGCTTTCAGAGGAGATTCGGTGTCAATGTCAATGGCGATCGTTTAATTGGGCCGCATTTTCTACCTGAACATCTGAATGGGCCGCGTTACTAATTTTTAGTAGAATTGTTTGAAAACCTTCCCCTTCGGGCTTACAGCAAATGTTGTTAAAATATTAAAATTATGATGCTAATAAAAACTGATTTTTGGCAAGGCATGCTCAGACCTCGAGGTTCTTGCTGGGCAACAATAACAATTTAATATGTTGATTGCATAAATAAAAAATAATTTATAGCATTTTAAATTATTATTGGTTGACGTGAGCAAAACCGTTTATTTATTGTCTTTATATGAGCGAAAATATATAAATATGGCAACGTTGCATCTAGGGCGCGTTGTTCATAGGTTCATATCGTAGCCGTGCATAATATTGTGACGTCAGCCGGTCAGTAACAGCCTGAAAAGGGGGTTAAATAATGATTTGAAAATATTTTTTTTCAGCTTAAATATGCATTTAAATTTTTTTTTAATCACGCCATCGTATTATACTCATTTTTCTCTATCTGTTCTTAAAATTAATGACATTATGACTGAATCACCCTGTATAAATAAAATTAAAGTAAAACCCTACGAGCTTTTTTAGAAGCAAAATCGTGTATTATATTTGATATGTCTAAGTTTTGACAAATTTCATATTCAATTGAAATAGTGGCAAGGTTTGTCAATCTTTCTTGGGACATAGTAGACGGTAAGAAATTTTTAATGAGTTTTAATTTACTAAAACTCCTTTCCCCAAAGTCAACTGTCACAGGTAATGTAAGAAATATTTTTAGAGCTACGGCTAAATTAGGAAAACAAGAGGTAAGATCATTGGTGATTATTAGAGAGCGGACAATGTGTGTCTTTAACCCGAAGAATAGGTCAAATTTTGGTAGAGATGTGTACGCGTTCAAAAACGTATTTGTGTATAAACTATGCAAAATATAATTATTATGTATAGCAAATATATCGTATTATCCTCGCGAAGATTTGTACCCTTTATTTAAAATCCATAAATATAAGGACCCTCTTGGCCCTCTCGTCTAGAAAGAATTAAATAATTGTAGACTGATTGAATTGTTAAATAACATGTGTTTCCTCCATACGCGGTTGTATACTTATATCACAGGTGATATTTATGTATATAGGTTAATTTGAAAGCAGCGATTTTGGTTTTTTGTTATCAAAATTAGTGTTGCCGTCTAATAGTTTTACTTTTTCCTTTTTGGTTATTTTACGACGGGCTATTTCTGCTACTATATGGCTATACAAACACTAAACTTACGCCAGGAAACGAGCAACCTCCACCCTGGAAATTTTGCCGAACTCCCACTTTGTCGTAGGGTAGAAATTTCTTAGACTTGCGACTTGCCTAACTAACATTGCATGATGCTGTGATAGCATTTTGCTGATACTCCCCGTATGTTAATATATTAATTCCTTCATTATTACCACTTTGAATGAGCAGATTGGAATACTGTAGTGCATTGTGT